TTTAATAAAACGTTGACCCTGTGAAATTCTCTACTTTTTCTATCTTATTTTTGGTATTATATCTAAAATTTCTGAAGTTTAAAGTGAGCAAGAATTGTTCTCATGTGCCAAAGCTGATGCGATAATCCACAGATTCAGGTTAAACTCCAACACTTTAAGTGCAGAAATATCAACAAAATTTTGTGTAATTATACTGTTTTAGATAAACATCCTTCTTCTCTCATGTATTTTATTTATTCATTTATTAATAATAGTATGTTTTTATACATATTTATTTAACACTTTGGTCAAAATCTATTTCTATATTATTTATTTTAATATTCAGTTTTTTCAGTTCTTTGGAAATTGAGAACTTTTTCCAGTTGTCTCCTTCATCTTTTTGACATATCCCAATTTTTTGTGGGTTTTTAGCCTTTTTTAATTTTTTAATAGTTATGTGGGGTACAAGTACATATATGTTACATAAATATATTGCATAGTGATGAAGTCTGAGTTTTTAAAGTAAGCTCACCAGTTATAGTACCTTGGAACCATTAAGTGATTAGTGATCTCATTCTCCAAACCTTCTGAGTCTCCCATGTCTATTATTCTACTCTCTGTGTCTATGTGTACCCATTATTTAGCTCCTACTGATAAGTGAGAAAAAGCCATATTTGGTTTTCTATTTATGAGTTGTTAGACGTGACCTCCAGTTCCATCCATATTGCTGTCAAAGACATAATTTCATGCTTTTTTCTGACTAAATTATTTTTCATTGTGTATATACACCACATCCTCTTTATCCAATTATCCATTGCGAGACATTAAGTTAACTCTGTATCTTTGTTATTGTAAATAGTGCTGCAATAAACATATGGGTGCAGGCAGTTTTTGACACAATGATTTATTTTCTGGGGTACATATCATGGAGTGGGATTGCTGTTTGAATGATAGATCTATTTTTAGGTGTTTGAGAAGGCTTTACAATTTTTTCCACATAGGTTGCACTAATTTACATTATCAATAACACTGTATAATTGTTTTTCCTTTGAATTCTCGCCAACATCTATAACTTTTTGACTTTATAATAATAGGCATTCTGACTGGTGTAAACTTGTGTCTCACTGTTGTTTTAATATTTATTTATCTGATGATTAGTGTTGTTCAGCTTTTTATTTTCATATGCTTTTTGGCCATTGGAATATCTTCTTCACAAAATATCTGTTGATGTCTTTTGCCCACTTTTTAACGGTGTAATTTATAATTTCTTGTTGTTTCTGAGTTGTTTGTGTTCTTCTTAGATTCTAGACGTTAGTTCTTTATTGCACAGCAATGGGAAAAATCTAAACAATCAATTGGAAAAAAACTGTTAAAAGTATAAAAAATGAGGCAATCAAACAACACAATTTTGACCAATCATTGGCTCGCCAATAAAATTAAGATATTAATTTTTAAAAATACAGAGAAAAATGAAGACACAGTATACCAAACCCTCTGGGATATAGCAAAAGCAGTACTAAGAGAGAAGCTTGTAGTTCTAAATGTCTACTAAAAAATAGAAATATTACAAACTAGCGATCTATTGATTTACTCCAAGGAACTAGATAAATTAGAACAAACCAACCCCAGAGCTAGAAGAAGAAAATAAATAAAGATCATAGCAGAATTTAAAAAGATGGAAACAAAAAAGCAAAATATAAGGAATTAACAAAACAAAATGTGGTTATTTTAAAAGATGAACACAATTGATAGAACACTAACTAGGTCAACCAAAGAAAAAAGAATATTCAGATAAGCACAAGCAGAAATGATAAAGGTGGTATTACAACTGACTCCACAGAAATACAAAAGATTATCATATTGAATATCTCTATGCTCATAAACTAGAAAATCTAGAGGAAATCAATAAATTTCTGGAAGTATTCAACCACCCCCTCCAAATATAACCAGGAAGGGATAGAAATCCTAAGTAGACCAATACGAGTAATAAGACTGAATTAGAAATTGAAAATCTCCCAACACTTTTGAACCAGATAAATTCACAGTCTAATTTTACTAGATGTGCCATTCTTACTGGAACTTTTCCAAAAGATTAAAGAGAAGAGATTCTTCCCCAGCTTGACCTACAAAAACTCGCGTCGCTTGATACCAAAATCACGCAAGGATACAACTACAACAACAAAAAGTTATAGGGAGATGTCCCTAATGAATGTAGATACAAAATAGTAAACAAAATACTATCTAACTGAAACCAACAGCACAATAAAAAGATAATACATCATGACCAATTGGGTTTTATTCTGTGGATGCCAAGATTGTCTAAAATAAACACATCGATAAATATGATTCGACATATAGCATAATTAGAAATAAAAAAAAGCATAAGACCATCACCATCTCAATCAATGCAAAAAAGTCATTCAATAAAATTCAATATCCCTTCATGAAAAATCCCTTAACAGACTTAGCATCAAAGAAATCTACCTCAAAATAATAAAAGCCACATGCAACAGCCAACAAAAACTCTTAAGGAAATCAATGGAACTGGGATCGTGTTAAATCTTGTAAAAACCTATGCAATTGATTTGTTCAGTGTGCTAGACTTGGTAGTGAAGAAATGAATGACTTTAACTGGAAAAAAGCCTCATAGAACAAAACAGCATCATACAGAATGAGAAAAAGTTGCAAGAATATTCCTGAAGAACGTGAACAAGAATGCACACTTTCACCACTCCTATTCGACATATTACTAAAAATCCTAACCAGAATAATTGGAAAAGAAAAATGAAATGTATGTTTCAAGTTCCAAGCTAAGGAATCCAGGAGTGGAGTATCCAGAGACTCATTTTTTGTCTGTGAATAACATCCAAACCCCTGGCCTATCCCTTGGAACACAGGATTTAGGGGTGATTGAGACTCTTCCTTTTGGATTAAATGGAAGTTGCTAGGTGGAGGGTGTTAAGCAAAAACTACTACGTAAGCTGCATACTTTTGTCAAATGGTTGTAGTTTTCTTGTCCAGCCTGCTGTTTCTGAACCACCCTATATGAAAGCCCTCAATAAATTCTATGTCTTGTTTACTGATCTGGGTTTATTTCCTTAGCCTGTTGTACATGATGCCAGTGCTACTGGAGTCAATATTGGTCTGGCCTGACACCCAGTGAACCTGGAAAAAGGTTCAAAAAAAATCTCCTGAGCACCCAGACAATGGCTAAAAAGAGGAGACCCCTGCAGAAACCCTGTGCAGGCTGCAAATTTCTATGTGGGGCCCAACAGCTACTATCCATGATGGAAGGGGCCCAGTGCGTGAGTATGGCGATCCTGCCAAAATGCCAAAAGTCCTGGAAGAACCGCTTCAGTACGTGCATCTTACAAAGTGAAAGTCTGATGCCCAAGATGTTGTGTCTTCAGGTGGCTGGTTCCTCCTGACTCCACTCTGAGCAGCCACTGAGACAGAGCTCACCGTGTAGGCTACAGTGTATCAGTCATAAGAAGAGCTACTCCTAGAAAAACATGCCAGACCAGCTCAGACTAATCAGAGACCTTTCTGTCCTGCCTGTGGAAGCTGAATGGAGATTTGGGGATCGCGGCTTGTTGAGCAGCACATTTGAAGGATTTCCGACCATACGCGAATTAGTTAGGGCTATGATGACTAAATTGTCATGGGACTCTAAGACCCAGTTCCTATGAAGAGCTCTACGGGGAGGAGGATGAAGATTGGGGTAAGTCCGTGGGGGTCCCTGTCCTCTCTACACATCTGCTGGCTACCACCAAGGTAAAAATGGGCCAACTGCACCAGCAGAGGCTAGCCCCCAAAGACGTTTCCCCACCTGAAATAAGGAAGCACACCACAAAGTGAGATTCCACCACTGCGAAATTGCTGACACTTAGAAATGCACTCAGACAGACGTAGAGAGAGTTGATCACAGGATGGCTTCTTCATCTGTGAGGCATGGGGGAGGAGGGCATTATACTCCCAGAACTCAACATCAGTAAACTGACATCCATCACAAACCATCTGGGCCTGAGGCAGCACCTCGATGGTGTCAGTGATGGAGATCGGACCATCCCCCTCTTTAGTCGGGGGACTGCAGGCTGCGGGGGACCCTGGTGAAGTGAGGGATATGTCTGCTTTTTTAGTGTGTTCTCACATTGCTAGAAATAAATACCTGAAACTGAGTAATTCATATAGGAAATAGGTTTAATTTACTCACGATTCTGCCAGCGGTATGGGAAGTCTGATGATAAAACTGTTCAGCTTCTGGAGAGGCCTCAGGAAATTTACAACGACAGTGAAAGGCAAAAGGGGAGCAGCCATTTTATATGGTGGGAGCAGAAGCAAAGAAAGAGTGAGGGTGGAGCTGCTACACACTGTTAAACAACCAAAGCTCATGCAAACTCATTTACTATCATAGCAAGGGGATGGTGCTAACCATTAATTATAAATCCACCCCCATGCTACAACCACCAGGCCCCACCTCAAAAATTAGGGAAGCAAAATCACACAAAGTTGTTATGACAGGCGGGACATCCTGAAAACCTCTCAAGGCATGTCCCACACCACCCTGGAGTTGTCTCAGGGGAGCTGACTCCTCCAGTGTTTAGAGGCACAGGCACAGATAACAGGGCTAACTCTGTCCAGATGTGTGATATTGGACACACTGCACAACTGCTCTGTTCCATATGTAATTTATCTTATTTAAAATGTAACGCTGATACTTCAATGAAATATGTTCTGCAAATATGTAAAAATGAAATAAGATAATGATTACTAAATGATTATCAAGGCACAGTCACATAATCTGAAGTTATATTTTCCTGAGAGATAGGATTACCACCCGTGTTTTCCAGGACACTCTCATCCGATCTGGACACTGCCCTCTCCTCAGGCGTCCCACCCCAGAGCTTGCTATACAGTAGGAGACATGCAAATAGGGCCCTTCCTCAGCTGATGAAAACCAGCTCAGCCCTGACCCTGCAACTCTGAGAAAGGAGACCAGACCTAGAATTCCCGGGTGTTTCTATTCGGTGATCAGCACTGAACACAGAGAACTTACCATGGCATTTGGGCTGACATGGGTTTTCCTTGTTGCTGTTTTAAAAGGTGATCTATAGATAACTAGAACATGTGAGTGGACATGAGAGTGAGAAACAGTGGCTATGTGTGGCAGTTTCTGACCAGGGTGTCTCTGTGTTTGCAGGTGTCCAGTGTGAGGTGCAGCTGGTGGAGTCTGGGGGAGGCTTGGTCCAGCCTGGGGAGTCCCTGAGACTCTCCTGTGCAGCCTCTGGATTCACCTTCAGTGACTACTACATGGACTGGGTCTGCCAGGCTCAGGGAAGGGGCTGGAGTGGGTTGGCCACTCAAACTTTGTTTTTAAACAAAGCTAACAGTTACACGACAGAATACGCTGCGTCTGTGAAAGGCAGATTCACCATCTCAAGAGATGATTCAGAGAATACACTGTATCTGCAAACGAGCAGCATGAACACCGAGGACACGGCCGTGTATTACTGTGCTAGAGACACAGTGAGGCGAGGTCAGTGTGAGCCCAGATGCAAACCCCCCTGCAGGGGCGCGCGGGGCCTCCAGGGGGCGCTCGGGACCCACTGAGGACGGGGCAGGTCCCAGGAGCAGGTGCAGGGGGAGGTTTCCTTTCTCAGCTGCCGGAGGCGGGTTTGTTTTTTCAGAACTCTGGAGCCTCATAAGGTTGCGATATTTTATTACGGTTATTTATCACGTGATTTTTAATTGATATTTGTGTTTTAGTAATTTTTACAGTTAAATGTAGGGATATTTTTTTAAAAATACATAACTTCAAAAAATAATTCTTCCTAAAATTTGCACTTATTCCTCTAGAGTTTTATTAACATCTGTTGATATCAGCAACCACATACTTATGCGACATTAATTTACATCTGTAGACATACGTAAAAATACACAAACCTTTGCATACATGTGTAGTCATTTTTATTTAACATTATAATAAAATAATTCTGAAACATGTGCTAAAGAATTAAACTTGATGATGAACTAAATATAAATTAGGGTAATCCATAGTGAAATGGGTCACTAGAGAGTTTCTGGCAAATGTGAATACCCTTGTACTGAACACCTAAGGCAGCGTGAAGAGCAAGTCCATCCCCTCAACGCGCGTCTTTTTCGTGTCTGTGGTCAAATCCTGCATAGGGAAAGGTTTCGATTTCTGACACTATAGATCTATTTTTTTCCCTGTTTTGAGCTTTGTATAAATGGAATCAAACATTATAGACCTTTTTTTGGTAAGGCGCTACTTTGCTATTTTTTAGATTAATTCATGCTATTTAATGTATGAAATTAGATCAACATAGTGTCGTTTACTCAATTAATGGGCTGATTGATATGAAACCTCAAAGTCTTCATGTGTATATGGAGAGAAAGAGAGAGGAAGGAGAGTGACTTTATATCTGAGACAGTCCATTAAGTAAATATATGACAATATATTGATCTATTTTGTTTGTTGATGGACTTTAAATTTGTTTCCAGTTTATGAATATTATAAGCAAAGCTGTTAAAGATAACTTAGTGTAAGTTTTTCTATGTTGTCTCACTTTTATTGAGAAAATATGAAGTATGTATTTCTTTGAGTAAGTTTAATTTTTTTTCAGTTTTATTGAGGTAGAAATAAAGTATTTTTTAAAAATGTACAGGTTAAGGTGCACCACTTGATGTTTTGGTATTGTATTAGTCCATTCTCACAGTGCTGTAAAGAAGTGCCTGAAACTGAGTAATTTGGTAAAAAAAAAAAAAAAAAAAGATGTTCAGTTGGCTCACGGTTCTGCAAGCTTTACAGGAAGTGAAGTGGCTTCTCCTTGTGGGGAGACTCAGGAAAGTTAGAATCATGGCAGAAGACGAAGGGGAGCAGGCACATCACATGGCCAGAGCAGGAACCACAGGAAGCAAGGAAGGTCTACACACTGTTAGACAACCAGGTCTTCTGAGAACCCACGCACTGGCATGAGAACAGCACCAGGAGTCAGTGCTGAACCATTAATGAAAGGCCCACGCCATAACCCAGTCACCTCCCACCAGGTCCCACCTTCTCAATTGAAGATTATAACACAACGTGAGATTTGGGCCAGGACACAGACCCAAACCATATCAGATACACATTGTGAAATGCCCATCATGGTCAAGGTAACTTGTATATCCATCTTCTCACAGAGCTACTATTTTTTTGTTTGTTTTGTAAGATGGAGTTAAGCTCTTGTGGTTCTGGATGGAGTGCAGTGGCGTGAGTGCTGGAGAAGGTGTGAGTCTGATGGAGCTTCCCAACTACGTTGTGGTCCAAGCTAATTCCATCAAGGCCATTGGTTCCTCCCAGAGCATAGCTGTCCATCAGAAATCTCCCATGTGCCCAGCAGCAGCCACACCTTTGCATCTTCACTGAGCACAGTCATTGTTTGGGAGGAGCTCCAGGATGTGTCTCTTTGTCAAAACCTGGGTGTTGATGTCAGAGAGCTGTGCTGGGTGCCTGGTCCAGATGCTCCCTGATGTTGGTGGTATCGGAGGTGTGTTCTTAGGGTGGAAACACCGTTTATGGAAATGAACATAAGAAACATGATTTTCCTTGGTTCTCTTAGATGACATGGAGAGGAAAGCAGGTGGCCTGCAAACAATTGTAATTTCCTATTTTACCCCAAGTTCATTGTTTCTTGTAAACTTTGCTTTCTGTTCAAGTATAAATATATTGTTTAGAGTAAGTTTGCTTCTTTCCAAGCACTAACCATCACGTTCCCCAGATAAAGAGCACGTTGTCTTCACTGTGAGTCTGAGGGAGGAGCTGTTCCTGTACAACCAAGGGCCTTCAGAGACCCCCGTGTGCAGCTGTGCAGAGTCAGATGTTTCCCCATGTGAGGCGACCTCCACTGTCCGTGATTGCTGCTCAGGTCTAATTGTGGATTCAGGATTATGACACGCTTTAGGCTATCACAGGACAATCTGATTCTGAAAATCAGCATTATCATAGATAGAGGTAATAATCCAATGTCCATTCTCCTGACAGCAGATTATCTTTCCTATTTGGTTGAAAGTTTGAAGAAAAAATGTGACCAAATATTTGTCTAATTCTAACCTCAGAATCTACTATTTGCTCAAGGGGACTCCATATTGGAAAAAGTGAGTTCCTCCTTCTCATCCACACGGGGAGTTCCTCCTTCTCATCCACACAGGGAGCTCCCCATCCTTACGAAAAAGTGAATATCTGTGAATTCCAACATGCTGTTCAGAACCTGTGCATGCTGACAACTATGATTCCCGGTGCACTCCTGGCCTGGTGAAGCCCTCACAGACCCTCTCCCTCACCTGTGCCATGTCTGCATTCTCCATCACAACCAGTGCTTCCTGCCACAGCTGCATCATCAGCCCCCCAGGGAAGGGACTGGAGTGAATCAGGTGCACAGGTCATGAGGGAGTGCACAATCCAACCCACTCCTCAGGAGTCCAGTCACCATCTGCAGATCCATATCGAAAAAACAGTTTTTCCTACAGCTGAGCTCCCTGAGCAACGTGTACACAACCATGGATTTTTACACAAAAGACATAGTGAGGGGAGGATATTGTGAGCCCAGACAAACCTCCCTGCAGGGAAGCTCGGGAACAGCAGGAGACGCTCAGGACACCAGGGGGCGCTCAGGACACACATCAAGGCAGGTGCAATGGGGAGAAGAGGTGCTGGAGATGGGGTTTTTGCATCGCCATCATATTTCACCACTGGACACCCACCACTGTGTTTGTTCTCATGTACATGATTCCTTGTATTATTAGGAAATGACATTTATATAAATATATAACCATATGTAGGTGCATCGAGTCGTCCTCTCCATCTTATGCGGACCTTTTCCATGAAGACTCTAAGTCATTGTATTTATTTTATCACCTCATAAATTATGGTCAATTGTGTAGAATCTCTTTCTCTTCTTTCTCTCTTCTTCCCTCCTTCTCTCTCACTCACAAACTCACTCACATACACAGAATTGTACAACTTCAATTACCGGATGTGTTGAAGACAATTGATTAAACTGCAGCTTTTCCAGTTTAGCTGCTGTTCATATTGTTGTAAGAATAAGAACGTTGTGTTTCTCAGCTGTGTACTTCTCTAAGATGATTGCAGCTTTTTAAATAATACTCAGATACTGAAAGCAATCCAAATATCAATCAGAAGCTGAATCAGTAAACAAATTGTGGTAAATTCATTCACTGGAGAAACACCCACTGTCACAATCAGGTACAGCTGGATACGCTCAACAGCAAGGGTGAATTCACAAGTAGGTATGATGAATAAAAAAGGACAAAAAATACAAGTGCATACATACGATTCCATTTTTATAAATTATATGAAATGAAAACTAAAGTTACATAAAGAAAACCAGTAATTGACTCTGGATGTGGTGTGAGAAGGGAAGGTGTAGGAAGCAGGAGTTATAGGAAAACCAAAGGATATTTTGAGGGTAGTTGAGTATTTTCTATGTTGAGAAAGGTAACAGTTATGTCACTATCTGTCAAATGGTGCACATTGTGGGAGGGCTACTATTTGCTGATTTCGCCTCATTAAAATATTACAAATTTAAACACTTATAATTTGGTAGAAAATGAGTTAGACAGAGATGAATAAAATATATGAGAAATAAAAAAATAAAATCACAGAACAATGGCATAAGGACTTCACTCATAAACCTCCAGAAATTTTAAATTTCTCAGCCCAGAATTAAAGATTGAATTAAATATATACAAAAAATCAAAGACTCCTGAATATATGCATGAATAAACCCTAAGTCTACCTATATTTTTACGGAAACACTAGAATACAAGAAAATAATGTCATGATTTCATTACATAACGGGAGTTAATCAAACCACACCAGGAATGTCCAGCGCTGTCCTGGAGTTGGTTCAGGGAACAGGTGTGTCCTGAGGTTAGGAGCCGTGACACCAAGCTCACAGCTTTTGTTCTAGTTGACACCATGAAAAGACCAGGAGATCACAACTAAAATGCCCTGTGGACGTCACATCTGTGGGTGCCGCACACTCCCCCATGTGCATATGGAAAGGTTAATTACCTCTGGAGGTGTCTGCCGAGATTAGTGCTGGTCTCTCAGGAATGTCCAAAATGGCTCAATGGAACAAGAAAGGAGACTGGTTCAGGGATCCTATAGTGGTTCGGTGGTGGAGGCAGAGTGAGGGGTCTCACTCACAGAAAGGAGTTTGTGGGGTTGGAACCTCCAAATGACATGAAATGAGGGAGTTCCTGTGATTCCCAACTAGATTCATCTTATATTGGAAAGAAGGGCGACGATGGAGGAATAAGCATTAAGTTATCAGTAGCAAAAGAATAGTCTGATGACTTATTCTATGTAGCAATTATAAAAATCATTAATAAAAAAATCAGTGTCCAATATGAGTGGACAATAACCAGGTCTACAAAAAAGTGAGAAGACTGATGATAAGAATAAGCAACTAATAATGAAAAGGAGGAGGAAAATGAGGAGAAAGGGGTGAAAGGTACAGGCAGGGGATTAGACAAGGGTCCTGTTCCAATGTCTTGTGTGGAGACCTTTCACTATGCAAAATCACCCG